GTCTTTCCAATGACCTCTCTTCATTTGAATTTCCCATTAGTGAAATGGGGGGACGACAGTTTCAGTAAATCCTTGCAGGATTGTTGTGGAGACTGGATTCGGTAAAATGTTTAGAAGAGTACCTACCATTTAGTAAATGCTGTATAAGTAATATTACTATTACTTGTCATTGGAAAACTTTGTTATGATAGAATGGATTCATTTTTGGAGGAATTTTACAAGCAGATGCTGCCCCTGTAAATTACTATGGGAAAGAAGAGCTTGGGAGTCAACTTACCATGTGATCCGGAACAAGTTAGTTACTTACTCCACACCTCCGGAGTTGTCTTCCCATCTGTGCCATTGCCGGGTGACTTTGAATTGCATCTGGCTGATAGTGACCTTGTGTGCAGGGGTGGATCAGCCAGCCAGCCAAGTAACCCCATGATGTTGTGAAACCCATGTGAAATTGTTCTAGAGATTAGTAAGCAAGCACAAGTACCTGTGCTTACTGTGTTTATTGGGTAATCCAACACTGCTTAGATTACCAAGCAGAACTGCCCCAGAGGGTTTCCAAGGCTGTAGTCTTTATGGGGGCAGAAGCTGTAGTCTTTATGTGGGCAGATGGTCAGGTCTCGTCTCCCAAGGAGCGAGGAGGGGCTGAGGGGTCCAAACTGACCACCCACCTGCCCTCCAGTTAGCAGCCAAGCCCTTAACTATGTGTCACTGGGCTCCGTGCTCAGCTGAGAGGTGTGACGAGCTTTCTTTACCTCAAAGACTGTTGAGGGATAGATCCCTCAGGGAGGTGTTGAAGAGGGAGTAGAACCCAAATATCCAGGAACTACCTTGCTGTGGTGCATTCTGGGACTGTGGCTATTGGGTACTACCACAGAGCAGGCCAGGCCAACCCCATCCTGCCCCAGGCACCTGAGTTGTTCTTTTCAGAGACCCTGGGGCCAAAGGGCACGGAAGACCTTCCATCTGAAATGCTGGGCCCTGGGCCTTGGTAGATCTCCGCCTGCCTGGTCTCCTCAGCCTTCCCACATTTTCCAGTCCCAGAACCATGCCTCTGACCAAGCCTCTGTCCTCACCAACCTCCCTATCGCCTGGGAGACCACAACCCTTACCTTCCTGGGTTCCTAGGTCTTCCCCTGGGCCCGTCTCTCCAAGTGAGTCCCAAGCCCCTGGTGCTGACAGCTTTCCCTGCACTCTCATTTCCTTTATGGGTCTCACCGCCACACCCCTTCTTGCCCGAGCTCACGCCCTCCCACCCTTTTCCTCCTGTGCCCTGCTCAAGACCCATCTCATGGCACCCCAATCCCTTTATAAAGAACAATCCTCCCCCACTCCCTGCCTCATTGTTCTCCGAGAGCTGGGCCCAGCCGGCCCCACCTGGATAATCTCCCCACTGGACGCTGCAGGCACCTCTGGGGCTGAACACAAGCTTCCCAGCTTCCTATCAGTTCCTGTTACCATGCCACCCCTTCAATGGCCTCCACCCTGCCGGAGTGAAGGAGCCCAAGCCTGCTACAAGCGCCGGGCTCGCCACACACACAGTATCTCTTCTAAGCAGAAAACCAAGCGTGGTACTGATGTTGGCCTCCACACTTTCCAGAATGCTCCTTCCTTCTCTGCTAATTCTCCCTCTGCCAGGAACCCTAGCCTTGGCTCTTTAATGGATTTCTCCTCCAAGCAGCTCTCCTCCCCTGCCCTGCTCCTTGCCCTCCCTCCGGCCCCATTCTGGATTGTCAGCGTGAGCACAGTATTGATGCTGCCTCCTCCACCAGCCAGGAAGGGCAGGACCGGCGTCTTCATCTCTGAGCAGGGAAGGGGCTTGTGGGTGAGAGCTTGTTGGCTTAGGGTATGTCCCCTGTCGGAGCCCTCCTGCCTCTTCTCTCAGAGAGGGGGGTCTGCAGACCAAGCATTCCTGACTGCACCAGATCAGGGAGGGGCACAGAGAGGCTACTTCCAGCAGAGCTTTGAAAAATGGGTCTTTGGGAAAAACTGCTTCCCCAAGACCAGAAAGCCTGAGGTGGGTCCTTCTGGGTGGAGGGCAGCCAAGAGCTCGCCAAGGTAAGGAAGAGAACTCAGCCTGCCAGGCTTACTAGAAATAGCCACAGGAGTTAGCTTGGTTTTCAAAGTTCGCAAAAGCAGGGAGGAAACTCAAGAGCCAGCATTTGGGTTTTAGGCTAGAAAGGGGAAAGCAGACAATGAAAATGTGGTGACTTCCCTGGTCACCGCCCCCCTCCCACCGGAGTTCTGCCTAAGTAGACGTGGGTATTCGGGCAGAATGGAGGGAGGCACACAAACAGGAAGGGGGTGGGTGGTCTTTGGACTTAGGACTAAAGAGAGTCAAAGTCAAGTGTCCCTGCACCAGACTAAAACTGTGGGGCCCAAGGGCTAAGGAAACCCAGGGAAATGAAGGTACTGGAGATGGAGACCTTGGACCTGGGGTGGAGAGGGAATCAAAGTAGGAGAGATCCAAGCCCTGGGCTACAACGGTGGCTCTTCAGGACGAAGGCATCCAGGACTGGGAACAGATGGAAGTAGACAGAGGCAGGCATCCTCGTACTGGAGCGAACGTGTGGTCCAGAGGCGGGGAGACTTGGGCCCAGAAAGAAGGGCTCACAGAAAGGCAGTCCTGGGGCTTGGAATAGAATGTTCGAGGGGACCCAGGTGCAAAGGCAGCCCGCAACTCAGAGACAAGTGACATGTCCCTTCCATTTCACCCACCCTCACTTGTCCCCTTTCACAAGACACAAGTTTTGTTGGTTTTTTTTTTTTTGCTTTTTTTTTTTCATTTCTTTTTAATACAAACTTGGATCTTTGGGTGTGTCCTGCCAACAGAAAACAACAACAACAGAAGAGAAAACCCAAAAGAGTGAAAAATAAGAAAGAAAGAAAAAAAGCTCCCGCAAGAGGCTCGTCTCCCTCCCCCCACCATGCGAATCTGCACACCACGGGACCACAGCAGGTTTACAGAATGCAATATACAATCCACGATTTATAATAAAACAGTATGTACAATAAATAGGATATTGTTCATTTCTGTTGGATGACCGGTAGATAAATTTCTCAGTGCACACTCGCAGGGGCTCTGGGCACCTCGGGCCCCGCTCGCAACCTCTTGCACACGCTCGCTCTCTCTCTTTTTTTTTTTTTGTCTTTTTCTAAAACCGTGTTTTGTTTTTAAGTTTTGTACATTTTTAAAAAGTATTTACAATTGCTGGTTTTGTGCAGAAAGGGCTCACCTTCGGCTTCTGCATGGAAGAGATGGGTAGGGAGGGGTGGGGTGGGGGAGATGGGGCTGCAAAGGGGGTGCAGGGGGGAGGCAGAGGGGCAGGCGCTCCTGCCGGACGACGATGTGGACGCTGGGAGGGGTCTTGGCGTTGGTTCTCTGAAAGAGGCAAAGAAGCACAAGAGAAGAGACCGAGGTTAGCTGGGTGGTACGCAGAAACGGAGCTCTGAGACCAGAGGAGATTCCGGGAGGAGCTGACCCCAAAGCCCCTCTCCCAGAAACCTCCAAACTGGCCTCCTTATGATTGCTTCTGACCCTCTCTGAGCTCAGTTTCCCTGCTGTCAAACAGGTGTGTGTCCAAGCCCTAGATCACTGAGGAATGAAAGACACGATGGGCTCCAGGCAGGGGACTCTGTTCAGAACTTGGGCTCTGGAATCAGACACAGTTGCATTCAAATGCCTGGGCGCCACCACTTTACCAGGGGGGTTCAAAAAGCCCGTGGAAAAATGGAATGAAAAGATCATTGAATTTTTCCATGAACTTTTTTGAAGCCCCCTGCATTGAGTTCTATGACCTTGGGCAAGCCACCAAACCTCTGTGAGCCTCAGTTGACACACCTGTACAATAGAGACAACAGAAAGATCCTGGAGGTATATTGGGAGACCTCTGTGAGTAAAGACAGGTAGAGCCTGGCACATGATAAATGCTACTAAGGACCACTTTGTAATTACGGTCCCAGGGCCTCGGCCAGTCCCCAGATTCTCTAAGCCTGTTTCCTCCTGTAACAATGTACTGAGTGACCCCGCTGGTCTGAGGAACAACCTCCCAAGAGAGGCAGGGCCTCGGCCCCACACAGCACAGGTGTGAGCTGCTGCTTTAATTTCTGCTCAGTCCAACCTGCTTCCCAGCCCCCACCAGCGAGTGCCATTCTGTTCCTCGGAGAGGTGAGCTGGTGAGGAAGTCTGTCGGAATGAAGGAATAAAGAAATCGCCCAACACAATGCCATCTGTGTTTGGCTGAATGCTGCCTTCCTGGAACTCAGCAGTTCCCAAGGCCCCAGTTCCTATAGTCACCAGACACTTGAGGCCTGAAGTACCTGCTCTCTAAGCTGGTCCTGATTACATGTGTGGGGTCCTGGGGACTCTGAGCTTGGCCAGGCCCTATGGATTTCCAGTTCCAGAGGACCTGGGCTGGGCTTGGTCGTCCCCAAACCAGTCTTTCCAGGGTCCTGTCCTCCTCTCCGAGCCCAGATCCAGGTCTCTCACCCTCAGGCCATGGCTGTTCCGCCAGAAGGAAGGGGCAGGGTGGGCGAGGATGCTAAAATTACCTCCCAAGCCTCCGCAGCAAGCCCACCCCCCCTCCTCGACACCTGCAGGGGTCCAGGCAGCGACAGGCAGCATCGCCTCCCCTGCACTCTTTTCTTGGCTTCGCTTCCCACCAGGGCCACATTGAAATTCCACTCAGCCTTGGTTGCTGCCGGCCAGGCAGGCAGTCTTGGGGA